CCAGCAGGAATGGACACTGTTCTAAAGAACGCCTTGTATAAAACCTTTGATGCACATGACAAAACCCCCATTGTTTACAGCAAGTTATTCAAAATACAATTGCTACATACTGTGTGGCAAGGAGCATGAGTCCCATTACAATAGCTTGACATCTCTGACTCCACGATAAAAAATAAGTTCAATCATAGCTATTTGAATTGGTACAGATAAGACACAATCTATTTCAATATAAAGTTTTCACCTGGTAAAGAAGTGAGGAAAGAGAAACCAAAAGAACAGAAAGGTTCAGAGTTTCAACAAATCTTCATCCATGGTGCATGTAAGTCTTTGTAAGATGGGGGAAGCGCTTTTATGGCCAAAGCGGATTTTAAGTTTATAACCTAAAAGCTCTCCTCACTTAATCCTACTCTTCCAGAATCTGGTAGAAAACCATGGTGCTAACTTATACTATCAGTTCAATTTGCTCTAACTTCTGGGGCTTCAACAAAGAAACACTGATGGCAAATTTAAAATGTGACTAGCTCCTAATTTACTGCCTCTGTAGAGCTTCTATGTTTTCAACCAGTGTTCTGATTCTAGGTTTTTATTCTGTTAAGAATCTATTTTAATGATATACCCAGTTGTGCTGTATCTGTCAAGGATTTTATTTTGGTGACATTTCAAAAGATTGGTTTTTAATCAGCCTTCTGGTAAAACTCTGCATTACTGAGTAAGAAAAGCAGATTTTTAACAATGAATCACCTTTGGGTCTCACTATTGATTTTTAATAGGATAAACTAATGAATGGTTCCAATCTTCATTCAACCCTCATGTCACAAGTGTTCACTCAACTACTGTGTTCACAGCAAGGTGCAAGGCTTTCTGTATGTTAGAAGGAGAAGACAGTGATAGATCCATGTGATGTAGGTGCAGAATAAACAATTACAAGCTAAAAATTATATGAACTTATAAGCAAAGTGGTACCAAATAACAACAATAAAGTATGTTGATAAGTTCTTACGGGATGAGTGGACAGTGAATTCTGTACTCTATATTATGGAGGTATTAATCAAGTAAAGCTTATTGGAAAAGTAAGTTTGATTCTATTTTGCTTATTGATTAAATAATAGCTCTTGCTGAGTAGCTTCCCACCACTTTATATCTGAAACAAGTACTACCACCTTCTCAGGTCTAGGAATTTGTCTTATCCTTATTTGCCCCTTTTCTGAATTCTATGTTTCAGAGATTTTCCCTTTCATTTTTCCATCTCATTGCTAAAACTTATCATTTACTTCTTTCCAATATTGAAACCCTCAGTGTTAGCCCCAGTCAATTCACTTCTGAGTTATCAGATATTACCCCTGAAACCTCCCCTTCCCTTTTTAAACCATCATCAGCCAAGTACAGTGTCTGGTACCCATCAGGTACATAATGTCTATCAAACAAAGATAAAATCAAATTTATACTATTATTTTGATCATTCTATTCTACTCCACTCTACAAAAGCCACCTGCTGACCCTAACCTGGACTAGGCTGAGGCTAGCAATCCTAGAAATGACCACTAATACATGTCTTCTAGAACATAATTGTAATACTCCTCTAGCTTTGCCCAAAGAGCAGAACCAGACCATAGAGACACAGATATGTTTCAGGTAGAAATCAGCTGAATCATGGGTTATAAGAGGTCCTTGAGGCAGTTCCCGGCCTCACACACAAGGACGATTTCACACCCACAGTCACCAGTGTCTGTGGATAGAGCTTTTCGATGTCATGTCATCTTACATATTTTTAGCTCAAAGAATCAAAAGTCACTAAGAAATTGTGATTATCAGGAAGCTCAGATCTCTTCATACTCAGGATTCTAAGGAACTGAGATATTCTAAATACATTTACACACTCTTCAGGGAGGATAAAAAATAACCTACCCAGGGCTTCCCTGGTGGCGCAGTGGTTGACAGTCCGCCTGCCGATGCAGGGGACACGGGTTCGTGCCCTGGTCCGGGAAGGTCCCACATGCCACGGAGCGGCTGGGCCCGTGAGCCATGGCCGCTGAGCCTGCACGTCCGGAGCCTGTGCTCCGCGACGGGAGAGGCTGCAACAGTGAGAGGCCCCGCGTACCGAAGAAAAAAAAAAAAAACCTACCCAGTATGCCCTAGTTTGAATCCCAGAACACATGGATCACACTAATTATCTAAGGATGGAGATACTTCCCATCACTAAAATGTGAGAAAATCTGGACCACTTAAGAGAGGCTATCACCTGCAATCCCAATACAAGGCATTATTATTCCATCTGAGAGTTAGAGAAGCATGAGTACCCATCAGAATGTGCTGACTAGCCCTCTGAAATCATTATGGAATATTTTTGCCTTGAGAAATCTACTTCTTGTAATATTTGCTGGCGATAAAGCTTAGATAGAAAAGAAGACTTTGTCAACCAGAAACTCAACAGGAGTGTTGGAGACTAAAATGTTAATGATGAGGAAGATTTCAATGTTAGATTATTTCCAAGCAAAAGAGACAGTTTATCACCAATGTTTTTGAAAAATAATTATAAGAACTCCCTTAAGAAATGCCTATGATGTTTAATTGGAATTTAAGGTATCAGTATTTACTCAGAGATTTTAATACATATACACACAGAGGTATGTATAGAAATAAATGTGTATATGCATGTATGTGTATATATACATGTATTTCCTAGCTCCGTCAATGAGAAGAGTCTACAAGCAAAGACACCCCAGTAGCAGTAAGCACACCTGGCATGAAGATCTTGGTTTCTAAATATCACTATCCAATAAAGGGAACCAGAGTGCCTTGGAGAAATAGTTGATTGAAAGGCTGAGGCAAAGAAAATAAAGATGAGACTAGAATATACTGTTGTACCAGAAGGTAAGGAAGTGCTCATAAAGTGATGGGGGCATGTCAAAAAGACTCATGAGCCAACTTGAAGGAGTTCTCAAAGTCCAAATCTAGGCAATGTGAGCAACAAAAATGAATAATGATAACAGATTCTAACCCATGGAATACGATTAATATCCATGAATCCATAGTGATATAAATAAACGGTTGAATAAATAAATAAATGGAGGAGATAGATCAGCTCCTACTTATAGTAATTAATAAACATAGAAGTATTGAAAATAGAAGTATTGAAATAGAAAATCACCATTAGTCAAACAACAAAGTAGTAATGAGTACAGGCAAGAATCACCAATGGATGTTAAAATTAATAGGTGAAGGTATAATGAGAAACAAGATATTTGCCTAGTCTCAAAGCACCCCCCCAACAAGACATTTATTAATTACAAAGAAAAAAATAATAATTTTACAGTAGAGAAACCTGGCATGTACCACCTTCACCATATGATGAAATTTTGCAGCATATTGATATCATGCTCCCCGGACATGATAGGCTGAAAAGGGCACAACATTATCCTGTGCCATTCGTGCCAAAAGTACCTAACTTCAATCTAATCATGAGAAAACATGAGACCAATACAAATTGAGGGCCATTCTACAAAATAACTGGCCGGTATTCTTTCAAAGTATGAAGGTCATGAGGAACAAAGGAGAAGCTGTCACAGATTGCAGGAAACTAAGGAGATAAGACAACTAAATGCAATGGATCCCTGCCTGGATCCTGGATGAGAAAAAGGACACCGGTGGGAAAAATAATGTAATTCAAATAAAGTGTATAAATTAGTTAATGGTATTTTATCAAGGTTAATCTCTTGTTCTGATACTTGTATTATGATTATGTAACATTAAGGGAAGCTGCAAAGAGTGTAAACAGGAACTCTATGTACAATTTTTGCGACTTACTATAAGTCTAAATACTTTCAAAAGAGAGAGAGAGAGAGAGAGAGAGAGAGAGAGAGAGAAAAGTAATGCCCATCGGCACACTAGGAGTGTCTCCAGATTGCAAATTTCGATACAGAGTTCAAATGTTTGTTTGTCCACCAGAACCAGAGATTTACTCTGTCCCAACGACACTAGCCAGCAAACTCCAAATTGGAGTCAGCAGATGTCAATTTAATGACATAAATCATGGCTGTCTGGTACCTCACCTTGGAGAAATGAGGCTTTCCTCAGCCTGACCTAACAATACAACTTAGGGCTTGAGCCACTGGATCAGCCTCCACCTTCTCAAAAATCCACTACCGTCAGCAATGGGGAGGAAACGCACCCAGGTGCAAAGTGACTTTCTTATTATTTATGAGTCACAGATGAGTTTTGTGGAGGCTGTCCGATATCTCAATTTTGAAATGCATGGCTTCTTCTAGTTTCCTAACAAACATCACCTGAATTTGGTTTTGAAATGATCACCCTGAAATATTTTAAAATACTCTCCATTCTCTTCATAGCCTTCCTGTTGAAACATGCTTATTAAAATGATAATCCAAGACCTAGTTTTAAAAAAAAGAAAAAA